TTGGTGTACCATCTGTCTTCTAAAAAAATCCAGACACTCACCAAAGTCTAAGACCCTAGCAAACTATAACCTCAGGGTTCTTTAGGAAATACCCAAGGGTTCCCTGCTATGTCTAGCCTCCTGGCTATCAAAATGACTTAATAGACAAATAGCTATTATCACATTTTCATTTGTGACTTTGATTTGTGGTTGGTGGGTTTTGTGAAATCATTTTAATGTTTTATTGATTTTTTTAAGCTAGTCCTCACTAAGTAAAAGATTTAAGAGATTGAACATTTCAGCTATGCATTTAAAGCTTCGGTTTTTTTCTCATTTTTCTCCAACTGACTGCTCATATCTCAATTAAATCTTAGAGAACGGGGACTCTTACTTTCTCATGAAGGATTTTTACTGAGATTTCCCTTTTCTGATAACAAACCATAATTTGCCTTTTCTACCCTGGAACTGGCATCTGTTTCTCAAGTATTTAAATTTCTTTTTGGAATTTGACAGCCGAAAGTCGGTCATGCAACTATTTTAAGTAACTGAAAAAAAGATATGCAGGAATTAAAAACAGGTTTACTTTGCTGTTGTTCAGTCATTTTAGTCAAGTCTGACTCTTTTTGTCCCCATTTGGGGTTTTCTTGGCAAAGATACTGGAGGGGGTTGCTATTTCCCTCTCCAGCTCATTTTACAGATGAAGAACTGAGGCAGAGTTAAGTGACTTGACTAGGGTCATAGAGCTAGTAAGTTTCTGAGGCGAGATTTGAATTCAGAAAGATGGCTCTTCCTGACTTTAGGCCTGGTGCTCTATCTATTTTTCTAGCTGCCCACTTTTACCTTTAGCCTATGTCAAATGAGATCTAATAACAGTAGTAGTAGTAGTAGTAGTAGTAGTAGTAGTAGCAGCGGTGGTGGTGGTGGTAGCAGCAGCAGCAGTAGTAGCATTAGTAGGAGTAGTGGTAGTAGCAGCAATAGCAGCAGCAATAGAAGTCATTGTCATAGTTGTAGTCATAGTAGTAATGGTGGGGGTGGGGTGGGGGTGGTGATAGTGCCATGCACTATATTAAACTCTGGAGATACAAAGTAAAAGCAAAAAAAAATCCTCCCCAAGGAGCTTGTGCTCTAACAAAGGATACAACATAAAGTTAAATATAGAATAGATAGAAGGTAGTCTTAGAGGGCTTCCTCTCTCAATCAGCTTAGGGGGCAAAGGGGAGACCAGGAAAGGTCTCCTGCAAGAGATGGAACTTGAACAGTCTTAAACGAAATCAGGGAGTCTACAAGGCCAAAATTGAGTGGGAAATCTTTCTCAATATAAAGAACAGCCAATGCAGAGGTTAAAAAAAAATATAGGAGATATAGCATTATTTGTGAGAAACAGCAAGAAGGCCAAGATAGATGGATCACAGTGTACAGAGGTGAATAATTTGTTTAAAAACTGGAAAGGAAAGGCCCAGTCTGTGAAGAGTTTTAAATGCTAGAGTTTATATTTAATTCTAGAGGTAATGAAGAGCTGTTGGAATTCATTGAGTTGGGGAGCAACGTGAGCATACTAATGCTTCAAGAAAATCACTTTGGCAACTATGTGGAGTATGGATGGAAGCCAGAAGTGACTTGACACAGCAGCCTGATTAGAAGGATTTTGGAATAGTCCAGGCAAGAGGCAATAAGAGCCTGACCTAGGGTGGTGGCTTTGTGGATGGAGAGAAGGGAACTTATGTGAGAAATGTAAAGAAAGAAAGAGAGAAAATACAAGATATGGCAACTGAGTAGATGTGGGGTCAGTGAGAGAGAACAGTTTATGATAATCCCAAAGTTATACACTTGAGTGACTAGAAGGATGGTGGTACCCTTTACAGCAACAGGGAAATTTGTAAGAGAGGCACATTTAGAAAAGGAAGAAGATGATATGTTCTGGTTTTGGACATGTTGAGTTTGAAATGCCTACAGAAATTTGTTTGAAATATCTAATGGGAAGTTGGTGATATGGCAGTAGAGTTCAAGAAACAGACTAGTACTCAGACTAGATGAAGAGATCTCTGAATCATCTGCCTAGAGATGACATTGAAGCTAAATGTCTGTTGAGTGAGTTACAATAACCCAATGGAGTAGATGATATAATCATGGCCATTTTACAGATGATAAAACTGAGTTTCTGAGTGTCGTATAGCTATTTATTCTCTGATGCAGTATTTGAACCCAGATTTTCCTGACTCCAAGCCCAGTGCTCTATCCACTACAACATGCTGCCTCTATGGAATGTTTGGCAATGTGGTATAGAGATACTTTAATCACCTTATTGCATTTTGAGCAGATCAGTCAAGACGTCATGAATTTTGACTGTTCCAGTATGCCACACCACTATATCTCCACCCTTTGAAATATTGCCTTTCCTTCAGCATTTATCTCAAGAGCCCCTCCTCCATAAAACTTCCTATGATGGTCTAGTACAAAGTAATCTCTCTTTGCTAAATATTTTATAGCATTCTATTCTCTACACACATGTCACATTCTAATTTATATTGAAAGATATCATGGCATAATAGAATACTATACTTTGATTCAAATCCTGGCTCTGACACTTACTAGCTTTGGTTGTCTCTCTGGGCATTAAATATAAAGGGGTTAGAGTGCAGCCCTTTGACTTAATTCAAACTTTACAGAACAAATCCCCTTAATAAAAGAATTTGTTCTGTAAAACTTGGACTCAGGCAAAAGGCTGCACCCAGGGACTTAGAAGGTCATATACTGCCTTGAGGCCACAGATAGCCCACCTGGTTTAGACTCTTTAAACCAAAGGTACTGCTACTAAGCATATGTGCCCAGAAGGTCAAAGGCAGAAAGAAAAGCCCCATATCTGCCAATATATTAGTTGCCATATGTTTTGTGGCAATAAGAATTGAAAACACAATAGGTGTTCATAGACTGGAGGACACTAAACAAATGATGGCATGTAAATGTAATTGAATATCGCTGTTCTGTAAGACATGATGAATGTGAAGAATTCAGAGAAACAGGGAGGATTATAAGAACGAATACAGGATAAAGTAAGTACAAGGAAAACAATATATACAACAACAACAACAAAAATGTCAATGGAAAGGACAAATGAAATCAAATGTTGTGCAGTAATAATGACCAAGATTGGAACTGAAGAAAAGCTGAGAAAATGCATCTCCCTTCCTTCATTGCAGAGGTGGAGAACACTGGGCATAGCATATGGTATTTATGGTCTGATTGATATTGTGGAACTGTTTTTTTTCTTTCTTTTTTCTTTTTTAATACATGTTCCAAAGAGTATACCCTGGGCACGTCATTGAGGATGGGAAAATATACTCAGAAATAATGAGTGAATGGAGGTGATTTTATAAAATCAACTAATATTCATTAAGCACATAATCTGTTCCAGGTACTGAGAGAAATTCTTGGCTTAGAATATATAATTTCTAAGGTCTTTTATAGCTCTTGACCTTTGAGTCTATCATCTACTAAATTATAAATGGTTTGCAATCTGCATTGGTGGAAAGAATTCCCATATCAACAAAATGACAGATCATTAATGTGGTGGTAGGAGGGGTTTGGTTGGGGACTTTGGGTTTTTTGGTTGTTTTTTGTTTTGTTTTGTTTTTGTATTAGGCCCATGATTTCATTGGTAAAGGAAACTTTCAGTGAAGAAATGTCCTTTCCCAATCCAGTATTTTCTCTCCAACTTTGAGTTTGAGAGTTGCCTGAGCACTGAGAGTGTAAGTGACTTGGCTAGACTTATGCAACCAATGTGTGTCTACATGTGATCCTGCAATCAGTGTCCACTTTGGCCTGCTGCCTCGCCTAGTGAAGTTTACTTAGTCTTTCCATACCTGTGATTCCATCAGTGCAAGGAACACCTGTTAAAGAGTTTCATTTAGCAAAGCAGATAGCCAGCTTCTGAGCAACATATACTCTTAGACAATTATTTACAGCATTGAAAGATTACATGGCTTGCCAAGAGTCATGGAATTAATATGTTGCAGAGGTGGGTATAGAACTCAGGTCTTCCTAACTCCAAGAGCAGATTTCTATCCATTAGCTATGCTACCTCTCCAGTTTAGTTGAGACAAGTTATTTGCATCCAGTTGGTCAGTCAATAAATGTTTATTAAGTACCTACTATGTACCAGGCACTGTGCTAAGCACTAAGCATAAAAAAAGAATCAAAAGATAGTCTCTGACCTCAAAGAGCTTACAGGCTGTATAAAATCTATCCCTCTTAAGCTACACTCAAAATAATTGGACTACCTACATACCCTATGCTTTCTACTCTGTGTCTTTCCTTACACTGCCCCCCATACCTAGATATCTTTTCTTCCTCTTCTCAACAATTGAATTCCTTCCCATCCTTTAAAGACAACCAGAAGTGGATATCTCTCAGAAAGCATTCCTTGATACATCCCTTCCAGGTCATTAACAACTTTTCTCCCATCAGAACTCACATAGAACTTTTTTTACACTGGTACTGCACTTAATAACAAAATACTGCTTAACAAAAAATATCTTTATATGAATCCTATATCCATACCAAATAACAAACTTTGTGAGCATAATGCTCTCATATTAGCTAAACTGGATATAGAACAGTTCCTGGAACATATAATAACACATACTAAATGTGATAAATGAATGAAGTTTACCTCACCCATCTTCATCACATTGAACAACATTGTCAAAAACTAATTGTTGAAAGAGCAAACTTCTCTCCATCACATTATTATTAACTGTGTGCTTGAAAAGGAAAAATAATTTATGTATCTTTGCATCAGGATTAGAATTCAGGATTTAGTATTTACATACATATGTTTGTGTTTATGCATGTAGATCTACATTATCCTGCCTTTTGTTATTCCATTTTCTATCTCCTCAAGCCTTTGCTTCTTTTTTTTCACATAGCTCCCTGATATGGCTGTTTGAAATGAGTCAAAAAATGAAAACTGAAAGCCAGTAGATACAATGTTTACAAACACAACCTGTTCAATCCCGTCAAACCTGATCAATCACCCAGCTGAGCATCCAGGCACTTCACCACATACAGCTGGGCACAGACCTCCCTCGGGGCCAGTTTCTTTTCTCCACGTGAGTCAGCCTTGTTCATGCAGATTACGTGCAGTTTCTGATTACCCACATCAACATTCCCCTTTTGTGGCCATGGATAATTGAGAGATGGCTGTAGGTTAAAAAACATTTAATCACCACTGGTAATTGTTTATAATTTTAAATTGGTCAAAACAAAAACCCAAGTAGTCCTCTGGAATTTCCAGGGCTTTTGTCTAGCCATTGATATTTTACTCACATTAATAATTCATAGCTAATATTTGTGTAGTGTTTTAACATTTCCAAAGCAATTTATAAGTATATTGTTTTATCTCTACAACAACCCTTTGATCTATGTGTTTATTATTATCCCCATTTTATAGATGTGGAAAACTTATGGAGAATTAAATGACATGCCTGAGCTAGTAAGTATCCTAAGACTTGGGTTTCCCTGACTCCAAGTAATTCTATCTACCAGACCAAGCAGCCAATATAAACATGTTCATTTTCATGCACAATATTTTCATTAAAAGTTTGCAAAGGAATATGACCAAATGAAACTCATAAAAAACTTGGAACAGAAGTTGGATGCTGGCAGGTCTACATTTTGCAGTACTGTATGCACTGAGGTAGACAAAAGTCCATCCAATCAAGATTTGTTTTCCCTAGAGACTGGTGATGAAGGAACTGAATGACTTTGTCATACACAAAAGTTGGTACACACAGCAGGCAGAGGAGATTTCACCATAAGGAGCAAGAGACTGCTAAGTAGAAGAGCCAAATGAAGGATGCATTCATTATGGTGCCCAAGACAGGAGGGGGGACACTAGCCTGCACAGCAAGTTTGCAGGCTGCCAAAAATAATTCAAAAGAACTGAGAAGAGAGAATTCTTGCCATGACTGAGATTAGTTTTCTAATTGCCAGGAAATAAAAAAACTGAAAACATAGCTAAATCTTCCCCATCATATCCCACCACCCAAGAGACAGTTTCCTCACCCTGGCATATAACTGTTTCTAAAGATTGTGCTCCCAGATTTCCTCCCGATGTGCTTGGGAAAAATAATCTAATGCCCTGGATATGTGCAGAGTAGAGGTGTGCAGAAGATATATTCCTTATTCTTTTATTTTTAAATGTTTAGTTTCTAAATATATGTTCCTTGTTTCCTTGTCTACAAGTAAGCTTCTAGGACTGAATTTAGATAATCTTGGAGTTAGTGTATCTGGGAAGGAGGCTTGAGCCAATCTGAGATATTTTAATCATCCAAATTATTCCTACATTGGGAGTATTAGAGTGGAAAATGGATTCTAAGTATAATAAGGAAAGTTAAACACTAAATTCTCAGAGAAGAAGAAGGGAAAGAAGACAAATGATGAGAAGGAAGAATAACTATTTTGGGAAATATTTCAGACTAATTCTCTGATCTGAAGAAAACCAGTAAAGGTGGTACAAAATCACATTTCAAAAAAAGAATACAATCTCCCTGGGGATTGATAAATGGATAGGAATAGTTACATTCTTATCTTTTAAGGAGTGGAAAACTGGAGAATTTATTTTCTCCATTGTGGCTCCAGCAATTTGTATTCAAGAAAATGAGAAAAGAAAAACGTTATTTGGAAGCTTAAAAATTTCTGTTCTAAATCTTGCAATTTATAAAATTAACCTTATAGCTTATGAGCAGGAATATAAAACCATATGGAACTCTATTTGTTTTCAGTATATCTCGCTCTGGAAAATAGATTTTTAGCACAGTCCATGAATATAGGGAAATTATACTTTCCTATAAATTTACTGATATGTTCATGCTGAATTGGAAAAAAGAATTTTTCTTAATTAGTTCAGTGCTAAATCCTGCTCATTTACTATAGCCAATAAAGAGACACTTGGAGTTCTGCATTTTAATTCCTTTCCTCAATCTCAGACTATAACCATCTAGTTCTGTAGATGCCTAGAATTCTTAGAATAATATGTGATAGCATAGTAAAAATATTTTTGCATGTTTCCATTATTTTTGTTTCTAAAAAATCTCTCTCTTCCACAAAGCATTTCTAAGCCATTATAGGAAAAGAAGAAATTGATCTCTTAATCCCAAAATGCAGTTCCCATAGTTCTCTCTTCATTTTTCACCACACTCAGTAATTCCCTCTGATCTATATAAAAAATGAAGGCAGGCAGGTGGAACAGCAGATAGAGTGCTGGATCTGGAGTTAGTAAGACCTAAATTCAAATCTAGCTTCAGTCATCTAGTAGCTGTGTAACCCTGGGCAAGTCACTTACTCTCTCTGAGTTAGTTCCCTCATCTGTAAAGTAGGGATAAGAAGAGCACCTACCTCTAAGAGTTCTTGTGAGAATAAAATGAAATGATATTTGCAAAACACTTTGCAAACATTAAAGCTAACTACATATATTATATATATATATACATACATACATACATATATACATATGCATGTATGTTTATATCTATATATACATATGTGTATACATATATAAATTATCATTACTTGTTTATGTGGTGATAAGTCCATTAAATAGTGGGATCCTATGATGTAGAGATATAAAAAACCTTAGAGGCCATCTATTCCAATTTACCCATATTACAGATGAAATTGAGGTTCATAAAAAATGAAATGACTTACCCAAGGTTATATAGAAAGAAAGTAATAGATCCAAATCCAAGTCTTCAGACTTTTAATCTAACTCTATTATACCTCAGGTACCTTGTTTACGAATGTGTTACATAATTTATATTGTAAGATCCTAGATGGCAGTGCATACAAAATTTCTTTCTTCCTTTCTCATATTTGCATTAGTTTATGACTTATTATTACTATACCAAGCACAGAGCCTTAAATAGTAAGGCTAATATTTGTTAAATTGAACTCATTTGAAACTGGTAATCATTTATTTGATGTTAAAGAAAGCCAAATAAACTGACTTAATTTTTTAAAGCAGCACATGCAGAAAAGTACCTATCTAGGTAAATAGCCTCACAATTTCAATAATGTAGGAAGCTCTTGGTGAAAAAAAAATCTTCTAGCAATGCAGAAGTACACCTTAATGCCTTAGAAAGTTGCGCCTGGGGCACTGAAAGGTCCACTGTCTTACCCATAGTCACACAGTCATTATGTGTCAGAAGCAGGACCTGAACCCAGGTATTCCTGGCTGTGAGACTGGTTCTCTATCCACTATGCCACACTGTATTTCCCATATATGTGTGTATATCATATTATATTATATGTAATAATGTATTCCAAAAAGTCTTCCTATAGTTTTAAACTATTTAAGCTATGAAAGCCTAAAACTAAATTAAGACTTTTGGGATACCCCCTTATATAATCATAAGACTACTATGTGTTTTTATTATATATAATATGTAGACAACATAAACACATATATGATACACTCAATCATGCATGCACATACACAGTGTTTTGGATGAGGAGGATGGGAATAGTACAAGGAATTTCTAGTTCTATTCCTCTGAACTATATGTATGTCCATACTTGCAACAGTCATAGCCACCATGGAAAATAACAGAGCAAAATCTTCATCACCAGATTTGAGAATGTCTTGCCATATTTGGGCCAAATTAAAAAAAAAACATAGCTTAATTAGTTTGCAGCAAAGGAACTAGGAACTCTCACTTGCTTATCAAATGTGAAGTGTCTTAGGGGAAAGAAAACACCCAACATGCCTGAGTTATTAATTATCAGTTTACAGTTTAAGTCTTCACTTGGCAAAACAATTCACTTTTCAAAGATTGTTATAACAAGTCTTGGGCAGAGCTAGAGCAAACATTTGTGTTTGTGTTCAATCTGGCTATTTCCACATATGTTCACTGTGACTTTAGGAACAGTGCCATAGGGAGAAGGAAGGCCTGCAATCATTTGCATTATGCAGATAACATAGCAGTTTGGGTTGGTAGGCCAGCTGGGTCAAAAAAAATATCATTACTAATATTTATAACTCACATTTTCAGAATATTCTTGAGGGCAACAAGAGTTACAAGTTTTAGAAAGAAGCTAAGAAGGTGCTGCAATCTTAACTTTCAGTACTCCCAAATAATAATTCCAGTTTGGTTATTTGGAGTCCAGAAACTCTCACACTCCAAGTGGATAAGAAAATGAATTCTGTTTAGGTATGTTTTCTATAAATGTCCCATCATATCAGGATTTTCTATCAAATATCAGAATAAGGGAAAATGTGAACAGATCAGCTTTACAGAAAATCAGGATAGAAACCAGAAAATGATTGAATAGATTTCCATAGTACTCCACTACATTTTTTGCCTACAACAAAATACCTTACCCTTATCCTTGAAAGTGGTGCACGTGCATGTATGTGTATGTGTGTGTGTGTGTGTGTGTGTGTGTGTTTGGGGTGAATGGGGGAATGAGATAACTAGTACATGCTCATCTTCAAAGGACATGATCATAGCAAAAGCAGAAAAGGATGCTTAGTTCTCTCTCATATCTATCTCCTTGACTCCATTCAAATGGCCACCACCCTAGTTTGGTTCCTCATCACCTCTTGCCTAGGTCATTGTAGCAAACTGTTATCCCTGTCTCCATCCAAACTCTTCCCCTATCTAATCCATCCTCTACATAGCTGCCAAAATCATCTGGCTAAAGCACAGGTCTGACCATACTCCTTTACTCAAGAATCTTCAGTGGTTCACTATTGCCAGAAAATCAATCAAATGGTATTTATTAACAATCTACTACTCAATATGCTCATCACTCTTTTGCACTGGGAATAAAAGGACAAAAATAAAACAGACCCCACTCTGAAGGAATTTACATTCTATTGGGAGAAATAACATGAATACCTAAGAAGATGCAAGATAATAAAGTAAATACAAGGTCATTTTGATTAGATTATACCTTACTAATGATATCACAAAATAGCATTGGTCAAAATAACCTTATATAGGATATATGTACAGTCATCAAATTTCTTCTACTGTGTATCTTTAAAGGCCTGCTTCAAAAAGCGTCTTTTATTTTCCTATCATATTTAGAACTAGAGAAAAACTGCTTATTCTCTCATTTTCTTGAACATTTCCTTTCCAAATGTTCTTTTTTTTAAAACTAAATTAATTCAGCTCCTAAATAAGTCTATGGTATAATTT